GTCCTGGAACATACATGAACCAACCTCATAGATTTTTCTTTTCAGGATGCTGAAGATCTGAATTTAATTATAGGAAAACAGTGGAGGAGCCATTGGTAGTGAAGAAGTCAGGCAACTTGTATTTAAAAGCATCAATTCTGAGTCAGGCATGATGTTTATAAATAAGAAAGCCCTGGCTTCTGGTCCCAGAGCTTTCAAAGGACAAAACTAGGTCCTCTTCTTTTCAATGGGGCCCGTGTTGTTTCCACTCTACAGAACAGTTCAGGATTGTACTTGATCAGAAGCTCACTGTCCAGCAGACCAACTCTAGTCCTCTAGTACACTTAAATGTCCCATCTCTAGGTTTGGAACTTGTACATTTTTTCTTTATTCTGGACCTTATAGTTAAAAAAAAAAAAGCTATGCTCATGGGCARCTTGCTATGATTAATTCATAGGGAGTGGCTCTAAAATTGGTTATATGACGAGCATAAAAGATAAAACTGTATACTAGTTAAAGTAGCAAGGACAATTTTACTCARCAATAAACTATTGTAATAGGGAAAAGAGTCCAGTGTGAACTGAACTCAACTTGAGACAGTACAGAGGTAATTGACATTTTAAAGAGAGAAGGGATAGGTGCCAGTAGGAACGTGGTAGAGTCGGGAATATAAAATAGTTACAAAAAGTAGGTATGGGGCTGGTTCATATGAAATGCACCTGGGTTTATTAATGGTCCTATCAAAGTTAGGGTCCTATCCTGCCACAGACAGGGCATGGGCCTTATCTTCAGATGTTAGTTGGAACTAGCAGTAAATYTTTTTGGAATGCTTGAATTTTCTTAGGTGAGAACTTCAAAGAAGTCTAGGGTCCTTTTAAGGATGTGACCTTGGCCTGTTAGACACTRGGTTAGAGTTTGTTCAAGTGTCCATAGGCCAAGATTGAGGACTCATTGAAAAGAAGGCTCAGAGGAGCCTGGCTAGAGTTTGGTCCAAGAGAGAATCTTTGTTAAGAGCTTAAAGCTTCACGTTGCCACTTGTTCTCTATCACTGATCCCTGAATTTTTAAATACCCTGTAATCACCTGGGGGGTATTTAAAAAAATGGTCCCTGGCTCCCACTCCCAGAAATCTTAGTCTACTTGGTATGAGATTTTAGTTTTAATCTTTGGGATTAAAGGTGATGTTGATATTAATATGCAGCATCATTTGGGGACTACTGYTTTAGATTAACTTGCTTGTCAAACGGGTGAGTGTGGGTCAAAAGCAGTTTGCATCTCCAGGTGAGCCTGATGCACAAGTTTGAGAAGCACTGTTCTACTACTCTTTAGGATCAATTGAGATTTTGCTAAAGCACAATGTGTAATAAATAAATATAAGTGGTTAATTGATGTGAATATCTAGGAGTAAAAAGCATCCTGATGCTCTGCCTTTCCTGGGGCCTGCACTTTGAGCCACTCTGATCTAAGAGCTGAGCCTCAGGTATTAGGAGATAATTCAGTCCTGAGGAACTGAGTTACAGCAACTAAGCATGCCTGACTTATAACTTAAGGTGCTTTTCTTTGTGTTAATGGTTCCCAAAATGTGGTCCCCAACCAATAGCACCAACGTCACATGGCAGTTTGTTAGAAATGCAAATTCCARTTCCAACTCTGGGAGGTGAGATTCAGTATTCCATATTTTAATAAGACTTCAAGGCAATTTTCTTTCTTTTTTCCAAGGTGATCATCAGTGTTTAAATGTGAGAACCATTGCTCTATGTGTACTATAAACATTAGATTGTTTAATTAGTTCTTTCCCCCAGTAGAAAAACTTACATAGAGAACTGCATGTTTAACAGGTTGTGTGATGTACAAGCAATAAATTGCCCACTATGTGCCAGGTACTGAGGATATAATGATGAGCAAGATACACAGTCTCTGCCTTCACGGAGTTTCTATTTTCATAGATGCATGAAATCTGAGCCAAGGGAAAGTGACGATGTTTTTGTGTGTGTGTGCGTGTACCAGGAATTGAACCTAGGGGCCCTTAATTACTGAGCCACAACTTCAGCCGCTTCTTCTTCTTCTTCTTTTTTCTTTTTTTTTTTTTTTTTTGTATTTTATTTAGAGACAGGATCTTGTTGAGTTGCTTAGGGCTTTGGTAAGTTGCCGAGGCTGGCTTTGAACTCTCAATCCTCCTGTCTCAGCCTCCGAAGGTTATAGGTGTGTGCCACTGTACCCAGTGGAAAGTGAAAATCTTAATGGAATGCACCATTAATCTCATATTCCCTACCACCTGATGTTTAGTGTGCTCTGGAAGATAGCGGTCCAGCCGACTAGGTGGCAGTAAGCCCACCACCCCTCCAACAGTGCTGGGTGATGCTAAGTAACAATTTCTTTTTACCTCTTTACAGACTTCATACAGCCCCACCAATGACAAAGTAATGATTGTAGAAAAGTTAAAACACATGGAAAGGACTCTGACCCTTCTTCTAGGGGTCCCTTCCAGTCTTTGAAGGTCTGACCTGACTTCCTGGAGACAGGCTTGGAGAAGTCCTTCACAGTAGTGCTGAGTGTATCTCTTGGTTCTTAATAGGCACTCACTAAATGCTTGTAGAGTGGATGTATAAATAAACAACACATTTAAGAAGTTATCTTTTAGGGTGGGTCACTACAGTTGGTCAGTCTTCTCCATACCTGTACTTACTCTTACTGGCTTCCATTTCAAATGCTGACACTTCCCAGTTTCATCCCCACATTATTTTGGAGCATGGAGCATCCTCTCTATGCATTGATAACAAATTTATGCTTTCAAATAAAGCTAACGTGTGTACCTAGTTGAATTTGATTTCTGACTTTTTTTTTTTTTTGGCAACTGGGATTGAACCCAGGGGTGCTTAACCACTGAGCCAATCCCCAGCCCTTTTTAATACTTTGTTTAGAGATAGGGTCTCACTGAGTTGCTTAGGGCCTCACTAAGTTGCTGAGATAAAATGCTGAGGCTGGCTTTGAACTTGCAATCCTCCTGCCCCAGCCTCCCAAGCCATTGAGATTACAGACTTCACCKCTTTGCTCAGTGATTTCTGATATTTTAAGAGATAAACCAGTCTTTAGAGTGTATTTCTCTCTCACAGGTGGTAGCTTTCTTTTGTTTATATGCGTGCAAACCCAGGAGTAAAGATATTATGCTGGTGCTTAATCCTTCATAATGGAGCTGTGTACCTGACTAGAATCTGGGAGGTTTGGGGAAGTGAGAGGCTGAGGAAGCCGTCAGGCTGGGAAGCAGAGCTGGGGGAGATGTAAGGTCACAGTTTTCTGATTTTCTAACTGAATCATCTAAAACATCAGCCAAAATAGGTCAGAGTCCAGTAAGCTCTGGTTAATGGAACACTCATATTCTGGCTAATGGTGCAAGTGCTGACCTCTCACCTGAAAAGATGCCCCGAGGGAAAGAGTAACATCACTGCTTTAACTTAACCTGCGGTCAAATGGAATCAATTTGGTGAGATACCATGTAACGCAATTGCATGGAACATGGAACTCCAAAACACAGGATCTGCTTACCTTGCATTACTTGGGTTCAAGTTCTCACCAGAAAAATCAATAAAGCAAAGGCATAGAGAATTTTTGCAAAAATACTCAGGCTCTGATACACAAGCAATAATCATTCTAAACAATAGGAAAAATTCATTAAGATGCAGCATATCCAAAGTTTTCCTTGGGCCAGCCTCAAGTCCCTCATGTAGATTAAGTGCTAAGGAAATGTTTATTATTAGGCCTAGTAAGTGGGGGCAGGGATTCTGGTTATAAGTCTTCATAGAAGTCACTTTTTAAAAGAGTAGAGAGACTACTTGTATACAATATTTCTAGTACTGTATTGGAGGTGAGRGTGGTGGCCTTCCTCATTATATATCATTGAGGATCCCAGGCGTGTTTGCCTAGGGCTTTATGGGGACTAAGCTTGGAGAGAACTGGGACTCCTTGTCACATCTTGGTCATTTGAGGATTTGAATGCTTCTAGGGATGCTGGAGTGAACTTGGGTCTCATTTTCTGGATGGGGACTAAGGTCAGTGACTGTGATGATCCTGTGGCTTAGGATAAGCTCTAGGTAAGAATGTGTCTTAAGTATCTCCACCCAGGATCTGCTTCTGAAATGGTTGCTATTGAWCACTGTGGAAAGAAGAAGTGATACTCAGGAAGGGAGGCAGCTGAATGGAAGGAGAAAGGGCTTTCTGAAAAAGTTCCTCAGAAGGTCCCAAACCATCCTATCCTGTACCTTACCCAAAGGCCCTAGGCCCTTGAGCAGGCAGGAGACTGTGGAGTGGAACCAGTTCCCACCTGGAAGCATGGGACAGAGTTCCAACTGCATGCAGCATGTGCGAGTGTGTGTAGTGGAGTGCTTCTCAGAGAGCGGGGACTTACCTGGCTCACAGAAACATTATATTTGAGGTGCATGGAAGTTTCAAAATGTTGAGACTTCACGTTTTAGAAGTTGAGAGATTGCATATAAATCTGGATTTCTGTTTTCCAAATAATTAGACAATCCCAGCATTCTTGCATGCCAATAATCAGCTGACTGAAGCTGAGTAGTAGCTGTTCGTGTTTGCCACATTCATTCCTGAGCTGCTTCTCTCATCTACATTATGTGAATCCTGAAGACATGTGAGCTCACCWCCCTCAATGTAGTTACAAAATATTTACTGAACACTTTTCATGTATAGGACTCTGATACAATAGACTTAGGCTTCTTTAAGGACTAAGGATGGCATTGCCACTGTGGTATAATGCTGTTTGTACACAGTGACCAGGGTGATTATGGGTGGGAAGAGCTGGTTTCCTTACACTGGAGTTGGATTTCTGTWGGATTGTTCATTGTGGGTCTTCCCTGTCCGCTGCCATCTTTTTAAATCTAGAATGCCATTACTTGGACACCTGTGACAARTGACCAGTGAGGCTTTCAGGTTTTGGAGTAAGTGACACAGCTGCATTTAGAATAAAGTCAGCAAAGAACCCAAGAGACAGTGTCATTTCGTGTGCTGGTGTTCGTCTATTTTATTATATATTTTAAAAAAAATAAGGCTGTCCCTCCAATGAGCTCAGTTTACAAATACAAACAGTAGGTGCACATTGAAAAAAATAATTGTTTCTAAATCTTTTCACTTACAAAGGTTCAGGTGTAATTAAAACAACAATAACTGTTCCCTTACTGATGTGAATAATTCCTAAAAAAAACCCCTGCATCTCATAATCTTCAATCAAATTAAGGATGGATTATTTTGAGTGGCTGTATTAAGTCCATTCAGTTTCTTTCTGGAAATGTGAGTTATCCTTCTGGGGATATTCAGATTTTCAGAGTGTTATCATTTATGGCTTTGTAAATGTCCTCTGTCATAGGGATATATGTTTTTGCTGTGTCATCCAAGAAATATAAGGCATCTTTGATGACTGTGGGATTAAAGCCCTCCTCCATGAGAGTTACTTTGCGGTGTTTAAAAGTTCCAGTGATCTCAATGGTATCCTGAAAAAGATCAAASAATCCACATTGCATTGTGTTTTGTAATAGATTAGGGAGCAGGGTGAGGAGTAGAGGTGGGGCAGGGGGACTCAAATCATTGGCATTTATGGCTCAGGTGAGAGCTGAGAAGTGATATCCATTTGGCCTGTTTTCAGAAGTTCCATGAAGAGCCTAGTGTGAGGGATTTGTTTTTATTGCCTTATGTCCTTAGGATCATCTGTGGGGCAGGAAAGGCTGCCAATGGTGAGATACCTGTAACTAGATTTTTGAGCCTGGTGGTTGGTAAGGCTTCTGGCATCCCCAGGGTGTCTGGGCTAACAGTGGGAGTGGGAGGAGGGATCATTTACACACAGGGAGCTCTGTTGTCTCCATCTGTTTGTTAGACGGAACACTTCCTTCAATGTTAATTGAGATCTCTGAAGATATTTCATGTTGACGTCTCTTTACCATCTGGTTGCAAATTAAATGTCAGTGTTTAATGAATATACATCAATAGAAATAAACCTATACACTCACCAATATCTAGAACCTTAAGACTTTTTTTTTCCTCTATAAGAATCACAGAGCTTAAAGTCTGAAAGCAAGAGTGTTGAACCAAATAAAAGGATTAAGTTTTAGAAAGGAAAAAAAAAATCCCTCTAGCAGGGTTGTCAAGTTTGGTAGTTCCAACTGGCTAATGATGCCTAATTAAATTTTACCCTATGGGGTAGGATTTTTGTATATTTTTGTATTCCTTAAAATTGAAAACAACATTTCTATTAACTAGAGCATTTCTATTTAAAATGCCTGTCATACCTCAGCTACACAGACTTTGAGTTTTTTTTTTTTTTTTTTTTGCCAAGTCTATTGTTGAATAGTCTCCTTGTCATTTCAGGGAGAAAGGGATTAGGATTGGATTTCTGCTAGCTACATTTTTGGATATTTTGCTTCCTTGTTGAACTTCTTTTCAAACTTTCTGGAAAAGGCAAGGCAAATTTGGCAAATGTGGTCACTCCAGGGAGAAGGGGAGTTGTTCCCCAATAGATAGGGGTCTCTAAGAGAGAAGATAATTGAACTTGGTAAGATGTCTCACCTGTATTCTCAGAAACCGAGGCCTTGCATAACTAGGCAGGTAATCAGCAACGTGCCGAAAGAGTTTCTTTCCATCAAATTCATGGTTTTCTTTCATCTTGATGGAGGCCATGCCAATTCGACCCTCATGACCTAGATATGAGGTGAGAAAACATTAGAGGTGTTGTAGCTGTTTATTTCATTTGTGAGACTTTGTTAGTTCAAGGAGCTATGCACTGAGCCCATATAGTAAGTACAGCATGGATAACTTTTGTATAGTTGGAATTTTTACTTCAAATATATGTGCAAGTTTTTCTCAGGTGAATATACTATTACTCATAGTAAGACTCCTAATAGCTCTGCATTGGTTGAATTTTTAGTAGATACATATTACAAATTCTCTCATTTAACTCTTATAACAACATTATGAAGGAGTACAGATGTTATCTCCATTTTACAGATAAAGAAGTTGAGACTTAAAGCCATTAAGAGACTTGATCAAGATCACAATGCAAATACTAAGCAGGGTCAGAAACTGAATCCAGGCAGGCTGGCTTCAGATCCTATGCTTGTGACCATTGTCCTCCTTGGCAGCCAACACAGAGATATCTCAGTGGGACACAGGTCAAACTTGTGGTGAAAAAAAGTTGTTTTTGGATTCTAGTGACAAGTCCTTGCTCTACCATCATGAATCAGTGAGCTTAGGTTGTTCTTTAGTTGCACCTCCAGGCACAAATTCACCTTGGAGAATTATTTATTTAATCAAGGTTCCTAATAGCTTTGCAGTCYGCACCTCAGAGAAGTTGCAGGACAGGAAGGTGAAGGCAGGTGAGGAGGTGAGCTGTTTGGTGCCCTCCCATTCATGCCCACCAGCCTCAAGAGGCTGTGCAACACCACAGAGAAAACAGATCCTAACAGCAGGGCTGTTAGTGGAGAGGTGTTCAGAACAATTACCAYTGTTTTCTTGTGAGGACAGTGGTAATTAGGTATTAATACATCTTCTACACGATCCAGTAGACCCAGTGGGAGTCCAGGTCCACTTCCCTGAACTACTTAGCTGTAATCAGAGACTGGGAAGGAGCYGATTTGGGTCACCTGGGCCCCAGCTTTTGAAATCTCTCCCATGATGATTGTATGTTTACCTATGGCTCTAAAGAAGATTAAAAAAAAAAACTCAAACGAAACAAAACCTCCCCCAAACAAACCAAAAAAAGAAATGTCACCTCATTTGGTTTGCCTTTCATCTAAAGAAGGGTGGTGGGGCACCAGACCCTCTTTCTTTAGGGATCCCTGGCACCTGCCTCAGCAATCTCAAATGTCTCCAATAAGTTTCTTTTAGAATGAAGGCAAGGGCTGACGCAACAGAAATCTGCATCAACTAGCTCCTTATTTCCTGTTTTGGCAGTGACAAAGCAAAGCTGGACAAGGGGCAGATGCGACTGTTGGGTCTCAAACCTCTTGTCCTGATTCACACAGCTTGGTTTGGGGTTAGCTCAGCTCCAGGAAGAAGGTTCCCGTCTACAGCAGCTATGGGCTAAATTTAAAGATCAGTTCTGGCTAGGCATTCTCTAGAACTGCACTGTCTAATGTGGTAGCCTTTAGTCGAATGTGGCTATAAAACTAAATTTTAAGTAAAATTAAGTAAAATAAAAATGCAATTTCTCAGTTGTACTAGCCATGTTTCAAGTGCTCAGTAGCTACATGGTGGCTATTGGCTGCTATCCTGGACAGTGAAGATATACACCATTTTATCATTGTGTTACTAGCAGCCTAGCTCAGGGACCCTGTCTGGATCCTGACTGCCTGGATTCAGCTACCTGCCTACATAAGAAATAGACAAAAGGTGGAAGTTTCTTCTCTTTTCCTTCAAAGCTGGTTTTGAATAAATCCCATTATCTTACCACTTTGACTCTGAACATTTCTGGAGCAGACTGTAGCCCTAGCCTCTTCCCCTGTGCAATACTAATGTCACCTGGCAACGATTTCAGAAAGTTAAGTTGTGAATGGAAAGTTCTAGAGAGTAGTTGAACAATTCTGGTGTGACACCCAGAAAAAGTCATCTCCAGTCTAGGCACAAACCTGGAAGTTCTCTTCTGGTGCTAAGCTAAGATCTGTGAAGTCTGTGCTGAGGATCAATCATGGTGGACTGGTGCCTTACTTTCATGGGCCTACTGCATTTCCAGGCTGGGATGGGACTGCCTTTTTATGGATAGGAGGCCAGGTGGAAGCAAGAGTGGCAAGGATAATCCAGAATCTGAAAGTTGGGAGGGACTTCAGAGTTCATCTCTAATTTTTCACTGCTGCAAGAATGATACTAGGATCCCAGGTAGACAATCAACCTCCCTGTACATCATGCCCCAGCTGGTGGAACAGGAGAAAAGCCCACTTAATTTTTGGTCTCTCTAGTTACAGGAAAGTTCTCAGGCCAAAGTTTTCTTCTGATAATTTCAACCCATTAGTTTTGGTTTTGATCACTGGGGAATAYAGAATACCTCGTTCCACCAGACTAYCTTCCAATTATTTTAATTCCATTAACCTCCTCTTCCTTGTTTTATATACATGGTCCCCAAGTCTAACTGCTTGTTAGACTTATTTGGGAATTAAAAAAAGACATCACCAGATTTCAAGTTCCAAACCCCAGAGGTTATGACCCATTAGGTTTAGGTTTTGAAGTTTTCTAGATGATTTTGATAATTGACCAAATTTTGGGAACTATTGGGCTTCAGTGCTTCTTAGATTTTAGTGTTTTTTTTAAAAAATTAAAACCCATACCATAAAATCCATCATTTTTATAATTCAAAAGTGTAGAATTCAATGGTACTTAGTGCAGCCAAAATGTTATACAGTCACCACCAGAATCTAGTTCTAGAACATTTTCATCACTTCCAAATTAGACTTTAGTATTTTTAAGAATCACCAGAGGGTTTGTGAAAACAGCTTCCTGTTCCCCATGTTAGAAGTTCTGATGTAGCAGGACTGGGATGGGCCTGAGAAACTGCATTTTTATTTATTTATTTTTGCATTTAAGATTTTCCATATTTTTTATTAGTACATTATAGTTGTAATAATGGCGGAATTTGTTGTTGCCTATTTGTACATGCACACAATATAACAATATAATTTGGTCAGTATCATTCTACTGTATTTCCTCCTTTCCTTCCCTTCCTCTTCCCCCTGATCCCTTTCCTCTACTCTATTGATCTCTCTTTGATTTTCATGATACCCGAGAAACTTCATTTAAAAAAATATATATTTTTTAAGTTGTAGATGGACACAATACCTTTATTTTATTTATTCATCTTTATGTGGTGCTAGGGATGGAACCCAGGGCCTCACACGTGCTAGGCCAGCACACTACCACTGAGCTACAACCCCAGCCTGAGAAACTTCATTTTAAACAAGGTCCCAGGTGATACAGCTATGGCTGGTCTGGGGATCCCACTTTGAGGAACACTGGGCTAGGTCCTTTTGTTCCATTTTTCAGATTCTCTTGACTTCTTGTTTGTGTTACCTTCTTAAAATCCAGCATTTAGAAGCACGTATGACCTTCTAAGAGGGCTTTACAAGAAGACCCTGGTAKGGCAGGACAGTTGACAACCATGACTTGGACCCTAGTGTTATATTAGTTCAGTTTAGAGTCAGGTGCATTCTCCTTGGGACCCACACAAGGAGCATTCTGTACCCTCTCCTACTCTGTGCCCTGACATGTGGCCATATTTCCCACTGAGTTAGTATCAGAGGGTCATAGAGAAACAGGCAAGAGAGATTGTCAAACATTCTTCAAAAAATAAAAGGACAGCACAAGTTCACGTGAAACTGTCACAGCTCAGGAAAGAGGAACTTTTGGATTTCCATTTTGAACACATGGGTGAGAATCCCAAATACTGAATTCTCAGGGAACTAGCATGTTATATTTGGGTAATGGTTTGGAAGTTTCACTCCTCTCTGACATCTGTAATTCAAATAATGTATTCTCATGAATATCCTCATGTATAAATTTGGTAAATACATGTTTAGTATTTMTGAAATAAAATTAATTCTCCTGACAATCTCAACTGCAGGGCAAGTATTATCCCTAATTTTAGTGACTTGCCCGAGGTCAAATAGCCAGCAGGTATTGGAGCCAGGACTTAAGGTTAGACCTTGTTTCTTTCCACACTGCTGGCAGAAGCAGATCTGCAGATGTGGTCTGTGATGATTATGAAACTCAGTGAGCTGGGTTAGGGTCAGGGACCTGCTTTAAAAAAAGAATCTGAATAAAATCAGTTCCTTCCCAGGTTTTCTTTTTAGCAATGATAGTCGCTCTTATTTGTGCTGCCTCATTCACCATTTCCCAGCTCTCACAAACTTGACACATCTTTTCTGGAAGAGTGCCAGACACAGCACGGAGCACTGCATTTGGGAGACTTTGCTTGCCTGAGAGGGCAGAAACAGTGGAAGCCAGCTTAGATATACTGAGTTTCCTGTTACTAGGGAACACAAAGCTCCTTATACCCTGGTGACTGACATCGAGTTGTTAAATTCTCCAGCTGGAAGGAGAAGGTATTGACAAACTGCCTTGAGGTTAAATTTATATTCAGTACCTGCACGAGTTGAGGTTCAGATGTATAATATCTTGTACATACCTGGCACAGGCACTCCATAAATATTCACCTCTTGGACAAAATCAACCAGTCCTACTATGTCAGCAACTTCCGTGGTGGCCACATTTTCCCCTTTCCACCTGGAAGAAAAGGCCAGTTAGCAGAGGTCCCTGGTGCTTTGTGGCCCAGGTTGCAAATGCAGAGAGCAGGTGCTTCCTTCTGACCTCTTTGGGGTGGTGGTCTCATCTTCCCCATCTTGATTCCCTCTACTCCCCAAATTAGTCACGGCATTCTGCTTGAGGAATAAAAGGTAAAGGTATAAAAGGTAAAGCTAAAGATAGGTGGGATTTTAGTCTTGCCAAGCAAAACTTGACAACGAATGGCATTCTAAGGTTAAAATACAACCGTGGCTAAGAAAGGCCCTAGAAATCAGAAACAAATCTCAACTGTTTTTTTTTTTTTTTTTTTTTTTTGCTGTGTTTAGACCTCTCACTTTCCTCATTTACCAACTTAAGTTGCTATTTAATTCAATTAGTGAACTTCTATTTCATAGAACTTATACTTGTATTTCAAGGTCTCAAGGCAGCAAGAAAAAGGGAAAAATATCTTACTTTTGTTACAGGGAGATTATCATATTAAGGCTCACCCAGTGCTATTTTTCACTTAATACGAGTTGAACTTTGTTTTGCATAAAAATTCTCTAGGTCTCTTAGATGTATCTTCTTAGTAATATGAGGGTGGCATTAAATAATAATTTGGATCTTGGGTTGTGGAATACTGGGGAAGGAAGAAATCTCAAGAATCATCAGGACACTCATGAAATGGGTGAAAAGAATTGAGGTAAAGCAGAGCACTTCCACTACTGACCAGCAGCATTAGCAAAGCAGTGACCCTGGGAGCTTGGTTCTCATTCAACCATGCTCATTCTACTGTAGTCAGATGACTTCCATTACCTCCTCATTCACTTATATCAAAAGTTATGTGTGTCTGGCACTGGGCTCAGTGCTGTGGGGTGGCCAGCAGACACAGGRCCTGCCTGTTGTCAGGGAGTTCCCAAAGAAAAGAAGCCTATGTTAGAAGGAAGGCTTCTTTCCGACTGGGTTAATGTTGGGGATTAACTTCATGGTCTGTTAGAATGACTTTCAAAGTTCCTTTTGCTGACTTTGGGGTTCCAATGGAAGCCATTTCGTTGGGGAGGGAGAAAAAGGGAAGAAGAGGAGGAGGATGGGCTCTGCACCTCTCACTTCCTATTCAGCCAGATCAATTCCACATTAATTGCATTTGATTTTGGCTGAAGAAAAGCCCCATGACTGGGAACATTGTGAAAATTCCTGGCTGTCCTAATAATAGAGGACAAATGAGAGTAGTTGGACAGGCTTTAACCTCCAAAAATCAGACACAGCTTTGCTACCTCATTTGATTATCTAGTGTTGCTCAGCCAAGTTAAGTGGGCATGACAGAGCTACACTTCATGTATTTTGCCTTTTATTCTCTGGGCATACTAGAGGTTGAAATGATATATCAGAGACAAGAGGAAATGAAGCAGCATAACCCAATKGGAATGCAATTCCAATTTAGGAATAAACCAAATTGTGCCTGTGTTTAATTTAGACTCAATAATGTAGAAAAACCAACCGGAATGTGTCTCCCACTCTGTCATGGAAGTAGACGAAATTATCATGATCAATCATTAAGAGATCTCCAGTGTTGAAATAAAGGTCTCCTTTCTTAAAGACATCTCTCAGTTTTTTCTTCTCTGTCTGAGTCTTTCCTCCAGCATAGCCATTAAATGGTGTAAGTTGTGTAATTTTGCAAATCAGGAGTCCAACCTCACCTAAGACCAGAAGAAAGAAAGTTGTTATTTTGTGTGCTAGAGATGAGCAAATTTTATTTTCAATTTCTCTTAAGACTGATGCCATAGAACCCACTGTTAATAAGCTGGCTGCAGAAAGTGCCATTTTCATACACATGTTCATATACATCATGTACATGCATATGCATGTATACTACATATACACATATTAACACACACTTGAAATTAGTTTAATGCTGATCTTGTACTGATAATGATTTATGCACATAACTACACAAGACCACCTGAAGTTAACTGTAGCCTTGAAGCCATAATTTCATATTCCTTTCTTTCTTTTTGGTTGTTCAAAACATTACAAAGCTCWTGACAYATCATCTTTCATACATTTGATTCAAGTGAGTTATGAACTCCCATTTTTACCCCAAATACAAATTGCAGAATCACATCAGTTACACATTCACATTTTTACATAATGCCATATTAGTGACTGTTGTATTCTGCTGCCTTTCCTATCCCCTACTTTCCCCCTCCCCTCCCCTCCCCTCCCATCTTCCCTCTCTACCTAATTTGTTGTTGTTCAGTTCTCTCCCTTGTTTTTTTCCCCCACTTTCCCCTCACAACCTCTTATATGTGATTTCATATAATGTTGAGGGTTTCCTTACGTTTCCATGCAATTTACCTTCTCTCTCCCTTTCCCTCCCACCACTCGCCTCTGTTTTATGTTAATCTTTTCCTCATGCTCTTCCTCCATGCTCAGTTCTTAGTTGCTCTCCTTAAATCAAAGAAGACATTTGGCATTTATTTTTTAAGGATTGGCTAACTTCACTTAGCATAATCTGCTCTAATGCCATCCATTTCCCTGAAAATTCCATGATTTTGTCATTTTTTAGTGCTGCGTAATACTCCGTTGTGTATAAATGCCACATTTTTTTATCCATTCATCTATTGAAGGGCATCTAGGTTGGTTCCACAGTCTAGCTATTGTGAATTGTGCTGCTATGATCATTGATGTGGCAGTATCCCTATAGCTTTCCACAAAACACTTACCTTATAAGCAAGAAGTTGTTAAGCTAGCCTTAAAACCATAATTATGTTACACGTAATGGCAAATTAGAGCCTGGAAATTTGAAGCAGAAGCTAATTCCTATAACTATTTTTGAGAGTAATTAAACCATCTGGAAATAATGCATTAGTCTTAAAAATCCTGTGATAAGAAAAGTCACAGGATATATGAACAAAAAATTCACTGTACCTTTGGGAACTTTGATGCAATATCCATTTCCATCACGGACGGGTTCGTCTTTCTCCACGTCATATTTAATCAGTTCATAAGTTATGACTTTCTAACAAAATTTAAAAATATCATCTTGAGTACAAATTCTGTTACAGTTTTTATATACTTCATTATATAAAGTACTTGAAGTGCACATATGGTAAGTGTACAGCTCAGTGAAATTTTGCTTTTGTGTAYGGCCATGTAGTTACTACCTACATTAAGATACTAAACATTCTCATTTCACTTAAAACTTTCCATGCAGTCAGCMACTATTGTGACTTTTATCACTATCAATTAGTTTTAAATCTCAAATGAGTGAAGTGTATGTATGCCTTTATGTGTGCTTCTTTCATTCAGTATATCTCTGAATATTTATCCATCCATGTTTGTGTTCTTRTTAGTGGTTTATTAATTATTATCATTATTAGTTTTTATAGGGCTGGGGATTGAACCCAGGGCCTCATGCATGCTAGGCAACTGCTCTACTACTGAACTATATCCCTATCCAAAGTAGTTCATTTATTATTGTCATGAAATTTTCCCTCTATAAATATATAGCAATTTGTCTATTCTCCTGTTAATGGGTATTTGGACTGTTTCTAGTTTAGGCTATCATAAATTAAGCTGTTATGAACATTCTTTTACATGTCTTTTGGTGGACATATCACAAGTGGGTTTTAAAAATCTTATATAACCTTATATTAATATGCTATCATTAGATTTTTCACATTTTCAGGGACATRTTCTACAAAATATTCAAAAATCAAAGCTAAAACGATTTCATGCCCTTGACCATAAAATTAAAATTCTATCACACTTAACAGTTTTTTTAATGAGATAAGAATTTAAATTTAAATAATTCAGTAAGAGCAATACTAAGTATATTATTTTCCCTACTAATGGATAATCACAAATATGACAGTATTTGGATATAATTGTTAGCCATGATTACTGTCTCCATTTAAAATTTATATCCAAGTCTATGGGATAAAGTAATCAATCACATGCTTTAGTTGGAGCAGATAACTTCATTAAAAAATACAGGTGGTGGCGGGCAGTGGTATGGCCTGTTGGGGTAGCTAAGGTACCCTCCATAGCACCTTCTGGACATGCCTGTCCTTGTAAGGTAAAAACTTCAATTCCTTGATAAAGGGAAGGATGAAAGCTCTACCTAGGAACTTGATGTGAATAGATGAGACCTGTCATTATGCAAGTATTATGTCACTCTGAACAGACACTAAAAACAGTTCTCAYCTCTAAGAACCCAATGCTTGTGTCACAGTATGAGAAATTAGATGCTAAGGAACAGCAACAAATGAATGAAGCCTTCCAGCAAACCAGTGATCTCTTCAGACCTATTACTTTGAATTCACAATCAGATTGGATCACCTCCTAAACTGAGGCTTCCCAAGACATTGAATGGTTTTTCGGTAATCCTTATAGAAAGATACCCTCTCCAGAGAAGCAGAGTATTTATATTCTGTCCATTGGATCTCTAGGAAACACCAAGTTTTTAGTGAAGAATGTATTAAATGTCTCAAAGGGCTACTGTGAAGCATTTTTCTATGGTTTGACTATAAAACTCCTAGAACTGGTTTCTGTTTCTGCAACATGGTGTTCTTTTAGAGTGAATGATCATGCAATTTACAAATTCATGCAGGGCATATCCTGAAGTTCTTAAAAAAGATGAAATCTGAAGATGCCTTTTGTGTTGTGGGAATAACAATGATTGATCTTTACCCAAGAGACTCCTGGAATTTTGTCTTTGGATAGGCTTCTTTGACAGATGGTATGGAAATATTCAGCTTCACTAGATATGGCAGTTTTTTCTATAGCTCCCACTATGAAGGCACAGTGAAGGAGCTCCAGAAAAAAATCTTCCAATGACTCTTCCAGTTTTGATAACTACTTTATTCAGGGAATCACTAGTGTTTTGCTGCTCTATTCCTGTAAGACTTTAACCCATGAGATTGAACACATATTTGGACTGTGACACTGCGGGTGGCTCATATGCCTAATGCAAGGCTCCAACCACTTGGAGGAAGCTGATGATTGTCCTATCTGTCTATGCAAGTTGTCGTGTGCCATTGGCTTCAATATTGCAGAAAGATATAAAGCACTGATAAGGTAGATTTGATGACGTATCTTCTGACACACCAAGAGCAACTCCAAAACATAGTTGTGAAAATAATGTGAATTTACAGAAAACTTTAAGGCTTTAAGGAATGGAAAGAGTAGATAAAAAAAAAAAATGCCTTGCTGTTCTCCAAAAATAAGTACCTTCAGATAGGAGYAATTAAAATAAGTATTTGCCCATTATGCTCTCAAAAAACAAACAAACAACAGGTGGCATCTGTGGTCAACAAATGTAAATCTTACCATTATTTGCAAGAATGTAAAGAATTTGTGGATGCTAACCGTTCTTCCCTATCAATTGCAGGGGTATCTTGTTTCTCTTTTTAGTTTTTAAAAAGTGGTTTTGTTTATAACACATGGCMAGCAATGGATGAGAAAGCAAAGAACTAGTAATGTATGGCAGCAGCTTCTAAGGAGGTTTGGTAGAAAACAAAGCTTCTTTGTAACTACTCTTTCTGAGCATCAACAATAAATACCAACATCAATAACTTGCTGGCCCCCTTTTTCTAAACTGCATGTGACCTTGGTCTACAGGGTTTCGGCTGGTCCAGGTTGGATTGGTGCTAACTGGAAAACACTGACCCAATCATCAATGCTTCCAGTGGGCAGTAGGATTTCCATTCTCAATCCGTAGCATTGCTGCCCAGTGGAAGTCTAGTAGAATTTTCTGTGACAATGAGAATGTTCTCAATGTCCCCTGCTCAGTGTGGTAGTCACTAACCACATGTGACTATTGAGCTCTTGACAGTGTGAATGAAGAACTGAATTAAAAACTTTATTTATATAATTTAAAATTTAATGACTAGTAACTAGTGGCTATTATATTGGATGGTGCAGGTATGGAGGACAGGGAGAAMCTTGCAGGGTTCTCCTGCAGGTGTGGTTTTGGCTGCCATTGTCAAAGAGGCCTCTTGAACAGGGTAATGCCTTGAGCTCAGGCCAGTATATAAAAAATGCAATGGCAATGATCATTACAGCTACAATTATCCAAGTCTATTATACAATAGGCATTGGCTTCTAAGGGCTTTTTCATAAAGTATTTGGTTTAATCCTTTCAACAATCCTTATTAACACTGAGTACAGGTTAGGTATTGAGCCCAGTGTTTGCTCTTTTTATTTTATTTTCTTTGTACTGGGGACTGAACTCAGGGGCGCTTTACCACTGTGCTATATCCCCAGTTCTCTTTACTTTTTATTTTGACACAAGGTCTTGCTAAGTTGCTTAAGGCCTCACTAGATTGCTGAGGATAGCCTCAAACTTGTGATGCTCCTGCCTCAGCCTCCTGAGTCACTGGGATTAGAGGTGTGTTCCACCATGCCTGATTACTATTTTAAATCTTTGTTTTAGGATGATGAGGTGGAAGCCTAAGAAATGTAAGTGACTTGCCCYAGGTCACTCAGCTGGCATATAGTGGTGCTGGGTTTTGCAGTTCAGAGCTGAACTTCTCATGCATATGGACCACTGTCCTCTGTACTGTGCTGGTGTCTGGGGAAAAAAGGTTGCCTAAAGACTCCTGGTGTGGCTGTTTTATGGCCAGGCAGGATGGGTGTCTAGAGACATAATGACAAAAAGTGACTACTCAAGYCAAAGGAGGCTCTGCATTCATGAAGTATTCCTCAAATTTTGCAGCAGAGTGGGCCATGTAGTAGACTGAATGCTTGGGCACAGAAAGTCAGATAAATTGTCCAGAGATCCCAGGCAATGAAACAGCTGAGGGAGAACAGGGACCTCTACCTCTGTGAGCAGGCTTAAAAATAAAAAAATGTTTTTCTGGTAGAATTATTAGGTAGATGCAATGTTCCCTAGATCCTAGAACTGGGATGCATCYCTGTGCCCCTAAAGGTCAAATAAGTCAGTCTTAACCCTGCATATCTTTTAAAAAGCAACTCGACCCCACCTCAGAACAACTAGCTCCAAAGTGCAAGTTCTGGGCCCTGCACCTATACATGTAAAGAGCTTGTAAAGTACAGCACAACCGAGGGGAAATATTATATTTCAGTGTATAATAAAGTTATGGAACTGGCAACTGTCAGGTGCTTTGCCATGCACACGTAAACAAAGGAAGGAAGGCTTCCATAAGTTGCAGATGGCAAAGAAATAATGGGTTGATATTAACYGAAACTGAGATGGTTTAAATTGAGATGAATTTTTTGAGATCATTAGCACAGAGAATGAGCAAAACTTCTCTTGGTGATACAGATGGACACAGCTCTAATTGCAGCATGAACTTCTAATAACGTCATCATGACTTGACTTTTAAAAMGCCTCTGTGTTCTGGGAATCAACTGCATGTGCTCTCATTTTTCAATGTACTTAACTCTTTGTAGGTAGTTTGCTCTCCCAACAGCACCGATTTTTCTTGGATAATTCATAAATCCAATATTGCCTTCAGTGGAAGCATAGAACTCATAAATGTGAATGTCCCCAAATCTCTTGACAAATTCTTTCCACACGTCTCCTCGTAAGCCATTTCCCAGGGCTACTCTCACTTTATGATCACGATCATTTGGTTTCTGTGGTAGAGGGAGAAGAAGGAGACAAACTGAACCATCTCTGGAATCTGTACTTAATATATTAATAATGGCCTTTATTTTTTWATATATTTAATTTACACTAATAGTTGTCTTTATTTTATTACATATTTACATTAGTCACAAATTCTATGCCTTTTCTGCCACCCACAGACAATATTCCTTCTGTCTCTAACACAATCATTATGGTCTGATTGATAGAACTTTGATTTAATAACCAAAAGATTTGGATTTTCCCTGTTTTGATTTTTAAGGGGAAAGATGAGGCAATTGGACAGAGCCAGATGATGCCAACATTTCATTCAATGTAAAGTTAGAATAATGTGTTAATAGTTTCCTTCATGGGCTGGTGAAGATCAGTGAATTTCCAGAAGGGAGGGGCTCCATGGGAAAGATCTGTCAGAGCTGATGCATTCTAACACCAGCAGGACCCTGGGTAGTGTTTCTTCTGCTTGGTGGTGAAGAATAAACCTAGAAAACAGTTCAGGGAGGTGGGGTCGCAGTGGTGGTGGGGAAATAGGTAGATAGATAGATAGATATTGATTTTCTACAAAGCCATCAAAGAGTCTAGAAGGAACAGGAGAGAATAATCTAGTTCACATTTACATGTAACAGGTACACCCAAAGGTCACCAGACCAGTTAGAGCTGAACCAAGACAGTGAGACCGTCCCAATGGGATGGGAAGAGAAAGAGAAGGAGGAAGCTGGCTCCCAGTTGCTTAGGTGGCTTGGGAGGAAGATGCTTTGCTATTAATAAAAATCACAAAGGAAAAGCTATTTTGAGTCTAAGAACGGAAAGAGGAGTTTATGAGAACAGGAGAGGTGGGGTGAGGACCGGCTGCCTTCCATTTCACCAGTCATTTACGAGGACCCTATAGAGGTGTCCAAATCGATGGTAGTTTTGATGTAGTTTATATTAATAAGGTAATTTATGTTCTCCAGGAGATCACAGCTTAGTGGAAGAGACAGGTAAACAAATAATTAGGGCTGGGGTTGTGGCTCAGCGGTAGAGCGCTTGCCTGGCATGTGCGGGGCACTGGTTTCGACCCTCAGCACCACATAAAAACAAAATAAAGGTATTGTGTTCAACTACAACTAAAACAAAATATTTTTTAAAAAAATAAATAAATAATTATATATTTAATTTGTAAATTCTGTTCCTCAGTTATTTGAACAGCAAACAGAATGAAACAGGCTAAGGTGCTAGGTAACTGGGAATCTCATCTCAAGTCTAATGGTAATTTATTGGGCAGAACAGCAATCACTTAGATCAGAGTGTTTTYTGTATTTTCTACATTATTTCTCCTACACTGTGAAGTTGCCGTGAAGGGATATTGGAATAAGAATTACTCTTTGTAAAGAACTGTTTGAAGAAAGAAGCTGGCAGATCTMAGGGGAGGGACTTTGATATGGCAGTTAAAAGCCAAACCAAAACAAACTTTGAATTGGCTCCACACCAAAGGAGCTAAAGGGACTGGGGAAAAAGTAAACATGCATTTGATTTTTAAGTAGCTGGTTGGTCAAAATTTAGGTAGCAAGGCATTTTCAGGAGTCCTAGCCGAAGAGATGGCTACATACTGGTTTAACTGGAAAAAAAAAATGAGCCTGAGTATTTTTTCTGAGGAGGACATGTGCAAAGAGAAAACAGGGTCCTCATGCCAGTGGATCTCAACTGCAGTGTTCAGGAGAGTCACCTGAGACGAGTTTGAACCTGCAGGAGTTCTCAGTGTTCTGACTGCACAGGAATCTATTCTCTTCAGCAGGTCCTCAGGACCATAGGTCACGGCATCTGTTCCCTTTATAATTACCTAGTACCTGTAAGGAGGGACCTCACATGTCTGTTTGCCAGGGCCAGTTCTGGATTATGCCTGTTGTTGTGGTGTGCTTGTTATCTTTCACTCTTATGTTCCCATTTGGATAATGAACTGTAGGGTCACCCTGCGCACAAGATGCTATTATTCTCAGTAAGGATTGTTGGTTTTACAGAGATCCCTCACCCCTACTATTCTCCCTCACTCTCATTCCAAGGGGGGAAAATTCCAGAGGGTTGAAGAATGCTTATTTTCACTTAAAAAATAACCACCTGACCTGGGTGCTTACCTGCTCCAGGCCTGTGTGAGAAGTTCCAAATTAGCCTTCTCATGAATGCAAACCTTACTTATTCCATATGCAGCCCACAATAAGCTCTCTCAAACACTTAGCTTGTTTCCTTATCTGATGAAGGGTGATCATCTATCCCTCTTACTAGATGGTAACTTCCGTTGAGTTCAACTCTATCTTTGTATCGCCCAGAGGGCCTTGGACCTGTGCTTTGCATACAGCATAATCCCTGCAGTAAAATAAATAACCTTCACCAGGAAACCCTCAATTTTCCTGTTCAATAGCTGGCGGCTGGGACATTGGCACAAGGGCAGGGCTGAGGGTGCAGGAGGTGGTGCAGGTGCCCTGGGTATGTTGGAAGCTGGCCAGCCACACAGGTGCAGCTGTCACCTGTGGGTGGCAGGTAGCTAATCACAATACCTCAGGCTTGGTTTGCATCAAACAACTGAGGGATCTTATTATACTAGTAGAATGGATTAAGGCTCTAGCCTGGAAGCACTGGTGATACAAGGGGGAGATACTGGAACATTCTAAGATGTCTGGCTGTCACCTAGTTTCCACTCACCAGTGGCTGAATGGAATGTGTCTCGAGTTCTCCTTTCCCACAGGGTACAGTGGTTCTCTATCACCAAAGCTGCTCCTCTAGGTCAAAGGTCACCTGCTCATTTTCTTTAGTGAGAATCAGACTTTCTATTCCACATTGCAGCTGAGGTGCAACATGCAAACACACTTAGGGACTTCAGTCCACCCTGAATTTAATGACTTATGAAGGGTGAGAGGACAGGTTTTTCAGGAAGGAACATAGGTAATTAAAGTAAGCAAAAAATTTTTATTGAGGGCTTTTCTATGTGTATTATCTTATTTACATTTCTTAAAAAAAATTCTACCAGAATGTGATAGGTTATAAAGTATTGCCTCATATTACAATTGAGGAGATGGAGCTTTGGGAAATTTATAGTAATGATTCCAAGCTCACAAAGATAGCAAAATAGATACCCAAGACTCAGATCCAAATCTAAGTGACTTCAGAGAGTGCTCTTTCTTTGGTTAAAAATGAAAAAGAAGGGAAAATAAAAAGGGAAATAAAGAGGAAAAAATAAAAGAGTGGTATGCATAGTTTAAATATACTACTGAAAGATCCTTAAATGAAGAATGCTGTATTCCATCTGTCCTTTGCCCCTCATCAGAGGTAGATAACTTTTAACTCTTCTAAGCTCCATATTTCTAAATTAAATGCTTGTATTGTTACCTCTTGATTCCTCACTATTAAATTTCCTATTGTGCTAGATGAGGATATGCTCTCTCCTGTTTTCTCTCCTAYTTTTTTCCAGTTTTACAAAGTTTGGTTAAATCAATATTCAGCATTCACATTATTTTGCTCATAACATACTACTGATGAACCAAATAAGAAACATGAAAAAATTCTTGAACTCATCTATATTTTCCCTGGAATTAATTGTCTCTCTGCCCATTTGCTTCAGCACCCTCTAAACACAGTTTTCCTCCTGAGGAAATCTATCAGATGACATGATTTCCTTCCTTCCATTAGGCTTCCCTTAATCCTTCTGCTATAGGCTGGATTGGTTGCTCTCTAGGACTGGGGGTCTCCTTTGCCTCTCTTCTGGGATCCTGTGTCTTTCTCTGTTTTAACTTTCTTGTTTAGACGAAACATGTTCTTTCCTAACTTCCTGAAGGAGGGTATAAAAAGGTAAGTTTGCTGTTGTTGTTGAAACTTTGAATGTCTGAAAATATTCTTATGGTATACCTGATTGATAATCTGGCTGGATATAAAATTCTAGATAGGTAATAACTTTTATTTAGAATTCTGAAGGCACCCTCCCTTTTTATTCCTGCTTGCAGTGCCACTGTCTACAATTGATTTTATTAGAGAATTCTCTCTCTCTCTCTCTCTCTCTCTCTCTCTCTCTCTCTTGTTGGTAGTCTTCAATTTAATCATGGTACTTTCCTCTTACATTTCACCTTCCTCAGTCTTACTGTATCAGTCACCTCCATCCTAGGTTTTCTGTACTATGTACTTCATGGTTGTGATATCTCTTAGCTTCTAACATGATGGAGCTGTGTCTTTTTCTGGTCTTCATATTTTTTGATTGACTTCCATGAKATGAAGAGTCTTCACCATTTTAGAAGATTCCAGAGGCCATGTTCTTAATACCTACTGTGCTATATTTCTACCTGGATGAGGCTTTACCTCTTTGCTTTACCCAAGAGATCAAGTGTATTTTCCCTACTGCAGTCTAAAAGACTGTCTAAAACGCCATCTCCCATGTCACCCTTCCACCTAAGGTCCTTCAATCATAATTTCTCATGTCCACACCTAAGTCTCAGCATAAGAAAGCCCTTTCCACCTGGGCCAGCTCCCAGCCAACCTCCTATCACTCTGCTTGCAGCTCCCCACACAGCAGGACCTTTATTCCACAGCTTCATGTGCTGTTCCAGATAACCAGAAGCCCTTCTTTCCTTGCGTGGCTGGAGAACTTCTCTGCACCCTTTAGAACTCACCTCTGGCAAAGCTTCTCGATTCTCCTCTGCTTCCCTCTTTCTCCTGGCTGGCCTCTGTCAACTTTCTTCTGACTATCCCTCCATCAAATTGGTCACTCCCCATTCTGTGCTACTACATACCTCTCCCTCCATTCTACCAGAATGCAGCTGATTCAGAGACAGTATCTCCAGCTGGAAGCGACCAGAGGTTATCTCATTTTGGAGGGAAGGCAGACAACACTAGGAAAGTAAATTGAGTCTACTCAGCTCTGCCAGATCTCTGGTTCATCTAATTTCTTCTTCCAAATAGCATGACTTTTACTTGTGATTCCTGGAACTCTTTTCTGGACTCCTTCCCCTCCTCTTTCTCCTCCTTTCCACTGGTCTCTATACCAGTAGGTGGCACACAACCTTATTTATGCCCTTTGCTGTAGTTTAGCTCCTAATAAGAGAAACACTTGGCTTTCATGATATCTTGTTCCAATAAATAGTTTTTCCTAATGACGTTGTTTTTAGGCAATTACACAAACAAAATGGGAGCTGATAACTGCATATGGCAAGCAAAGAACCAGAATGATCTTTCATTATAAATGAGTGCTTTGGAAGAAAAGGATCAAATATAACAAAATGAGAAATGAAGTAAAATATTCAACCATAAAAATCACTTAAGTCAACAGCTTTGCTATTCAACCCTTATTCAACCGCAAATGAGAGAGATGAACTGACTAGTTTGAATGTCTTCTTTTATTTTTTCCTCTGTGTATATGGGGCAGAATTTTCACTGGTTGATTCAATGAATGTGTTATTTCAAGCTACATACTATCAGGCATGGAAAATGATGATAATGGCAATAATGGCTACCATTTATTGAACATTTACTAGGAGACAGGCACTTTGGTATGTGCTTTAAGTACATTATCTCATTTTGTCTTCATAGATTCCATATGTGGTTGGTACCATTATTTTCCCTACTAGCTGATGGGAAGCTGGTACTTAGGGAGGCTGACTGTCCTGCTCAAATAGCAGAGTCAGGATACAGGTCTACTGTGTCACAGTCCTTGCTCATATGCACCACTTTAAGTGTCTGGAGCCAAATCTGAACCACTGACCTGAAGAGTTCTGCTCTGCCAGGGGAACTATGAATGTGGTTAAGAAGAGGGAGGAGAGGCATAGATAGCAGCTTCCACCTCCCAGCGCTGGCCCCCAATTCTCCTGAGAATCTGTGCCATGTTTGTGGAGGGAGTCATTTGGTTTAGTGGCTCAGCTAGGCAGGACCTGCCACCCTGATACTCAGGRCTTGGGGTTTGTGGGTGGCATTAACCCACCAGGAGCAGCCTGTTCTTTTAAGTGGCTCTAAGGAGGAAAAAGTTCTTGATTACATTGATCTAAAGCTTTCCACTATTAGTTCTAGCTTTTATCTACTTTTGTTCAAAAAGTCATKTTGATACAATTTGATTAAAGCTCCCATTTAATCCACAAAATCTGGAATTTCTATGATGACCCATGATTTAAAAATATTTTTAAAAGGACTTTTTTTTGAGATAACATTTCTTATAATTCTTACAGGTATTTTTTTTTTTTTTCAGACAAGCAGAACACAGGGGTTGAGAAGCAACAGCTAGCAGAAACTCCAGATCTAGTTTTAGATTAGAGATTATTCACAGATTATGTACCTTAAATCATGATATATTTTGAAGAAGGCATAAAATCCTGATCAAACTTCTTCTTTCTCTTCTTTTTTTTTTAAAGCATTTGAGACAACATTAAGAAAAAAGAGCTGGGCGTGGAGGCACACGACTGTAATTCCAGCTACTCTAGAGGCTGAAGTAGGAGGATTGAAAGTTCAAGGCCAGCCTCAGCAATTTACAGACTCTCTCAAAATTAACAAAAGGGCTGGTGATGTAGCTGTATGTTAAGGTGTCCCTGGGTTCAATCTCCAGTACCAAGAATGGGTGCAGAGATAGGAGATAAGATGGAAGCGTTATGTGAAGACAGCTACACCCAAACATGTTTATTTTCCTCCAGTCCAAAGGAAGCTCCTGTTAAAACCAATAGGAACAACACTAGCTTCCCCAGGAGACTTCTAATTGACAAGCTGGTGCCTTTATGGCAGAGAAGAAGAGCCAAACAGAAGGGCTCTGTGTGGATTTCTGGGTTTTGATAGAGAAGCATTCAATCAATCTTGAGAATAAGGTAGAATGTTAATGTGAAAAAAAAATAAATAATGGCATTAATAGAAATAACTATGGAAAAGGTCCTACCCCAGCTTATTATGATCTTCATGAATCTGTTGAATATGCCAAAGTATCAGGCTAAAATGTGCTAACACTTTGGGGGAAACATAGTACACCCTCCAACTCAATTATACATTTTTCCAGGCAAGAATTTAGAAGTACATTCAGCAAAATTTGTTAATGCTTGTGATGTGCTGTGACTGGTATTTGGGTTCTGGTAGCAGACTGAGGCTGCACTTGTGTGGAACTTTTGTTGATGGGGGGAAATAGATAATAATCATATAAACTTGTACTGTGACAGGAGTGATGAGGGCCATGAGAAGCAGTAACAAGATGGACAGTCATAGGTGGGTAATATATTTTTCATTTAATTGGCAAAACAATCACATAAACTTGTATTATGTTGGGAGAGATAAGTACCACAAAAAGCAGTAACAAGATGGAGAGGTGGGGGTGGGTGACATGTTTAATTATTATTAGGAGTGGCCTCTCTGATGAGCTGACATCTGGGCAGAGGCTAAAGGAGATGAGGGAGAGAACTGGGGAAGAGCCTCTTCTATTTCTTTCTCTGTCACATAGCAGCTGGCATAGACATTGAACATAATGTGGGTGTTTACCAATAGCAATTTATCAACTCAGTGATCTTCTGAGTTTGTTTTATGCTGACTTAATAGATTAAAGGATTAGAATCTGGTGTTTTTATCTTATAATCTAGCTCAATGGTTCTCAGTTAGGATCAAATTTGCCTGCCTGGGGACATCTGGAAGTGTCTGGAGACATTCTGGTTATCATGTCTTGCGGTGGARGGGAGGTTACTATCGGTGTTGAGTGGGTAAAGGCCAAAGTTGCTGCTAAAAATCCTATAGTTTACAGAATAAATCCATATAGCAAAGAGTTAATATGCCCAAAATATCAGCAGGGCGACTGATTTGGTCCCAAGGTGGCCACCAGATCTCTGATGAGAGCCAAGGGACTGAGCAGGAGGGGCTCTTGTGAACAACCCCATCAAGACAGCAGGACATTGCAAACAGGGTAGATCCAAGGCCCTTGAGGCATTGCTCCAAGCTTGGTGATAGGCCTGGTGGGTTAATTTCAAAGCCACCTGGGGGATTTATTCATTAAACAGCAGTAAGTAAAAGTTTTCTAAATGCCTTTGACATAAGAGAGGGCAAGGAGACAAGATATGGCCCCTGCTATCTAAAAGTTACAGTCTAGGAAGGATGGGAGGCACAAAGACACACACCTGCAATGAAAACCACAAGATGTAGAAATAAAATTATGTAGGGGAAGGGTAATGCCTTGGGCTGAAGTGACTTGAATAGCTTTAACAGAAGAGATATCATTTGAGCTGGGCTTTGACAGTGGCTTTTCATAAGCAGAGAGAAAAGAGGCAGATATACTAYGTGAATTGTAACAGGGAAGGCAATAGAATCACAATAAAATTAATAGTACCTGCCATCTACTAAGACTTCTTTTTAGGATAGGTGTGGTGTCAAGCACTTATTATAAGAAACAACTGTAGTCTAAATTGAAAACTGATATAAATGGATCAGCTGAAGCCCAGCATAACCTCAAATGATTTGAACTCCCCTCTTCTCTGTTTAAAAAAGATATTAAAACATGGGAAATGTTACCGGAGGTGTGTTGCATAAATACCGAAGCAGTTCACCGATGTACTGGATGACAGTTACATTGTATTTTCTGCAATCATCCCAAAACTGGCTGGCTGAAAATTTGGTCCGCAAAGCCAAAGTAGCACCTACAGAGAAGGCACAGAAAGTGTCAACACAGGAATGCTACAGATAATCTTTCCAATTATATTTAGTTTTGTCATTTTTGAAAGGTTAAAAATTTTTAAATGAATTAGATTTATAAACAAGGGTTAAATACCTAGTATACTCAATGCAAAAAATGAACCAGACATAGTTTTATTCTATGGGAGCTCCAATCTACAAGGGAGAAGATATTTACAATTCTTTCCAATAAAAGTCAATGTGCAGGGCTGGGGATGTAGCTCAATGGTAAAGTAGTTTGCCTAGCTTACATGAGGCCCTGGGTGCATTCCCCAGCACCGCAAAATAAATAAATAAATAAATAATCAAGAGAAACATAGAGGAAAAGATTAATTCTCCTAAGGGTCAAGGGTTGAAAAAAGCATAACCTGAAAGCCCAGCATAACTTCAAATGATTTGAAGTCCCATCTTCTCTATTTAAAAAAAGATATTTAAACATAGGAAGTATTACCAGAGGTGTGTTAGATAAATACTGAAGCAGATCACCCATGTACTGAATGACAGTAGCATTGTATTTTCTTGATTACAGAATTTCTGACCCCCAGAACAGTAAGACAACAAATCTATTGTTTAAAGCCACTAAATTGGTGGTAGTATGTATTTATGTTGCCCAAGTGATTGATTTGTCTGTTTGGGAGCCTCAGAATCATTCTAATGTTCTTGAAGGTCCAACGATACTCCTGGAGTATCATTTTTTGCTATGAAGGCAGGTACTGATACTGGGCTAAATGCTTTGTAAGCTGATCAGTTGGTGAATGAGGGAAAGAAGAAAAGGCTTGGGCAGTCTTAGTTTAAGCTGTTATAACAGATTACCACAGAGTAGGTGGCTTAAATAGTTTATTTTTTTTTTATTTCTGGAGGTTGTGAAGTTCAAGATCCAGGTATCAGCAAATCTCGTGTCTAGTAAGGGCACTCTTTTGGATTTGGGGATGGCCATCATCTCCATAAGAAGGGAAAGCAAAGACAGAAAGGAAACTCTTTCCCATCTCTTCTTACCAGGCCACTAATCCCACAAATGAAAGCTCCACATTCATAACCTAATGACTTCCCAAGGTCCCACCTTCTAATATCATCATACTGGAATCTGGGATTTCAAAACCTATGAATTTGGGGGATGGTGGTGGATGCAAACATTTAATCTATAACATACATACATATGTGTGTGTGCATGTATATGTGTGTGCATTTATGTTACTATATATCTCATTTAAAATAACAGTATTTTATTTAAAATGAACTGTCATGTGGATGAAAAAATTAAGTTAGTCTCAATCTTCATCTATAAAAGCGGTATAAATCTTACTGGAGGGAGARAGAAGGGAAACTCATTTGAATAGTGAAGTTGGAGAAGGAAAGGAAAGAGATGAAAAGCCAGGTATTCTGACTAGAGCTGAGGAACTGTGGGAATAGAGAAGAATAAAGAAGAATGGGGATGACTGGGGAAGAAGGTGACATCCGATGCTGAGAGATCAACAGGCAGATTTCTGAARTTGGAAATGACATAGGATAATTATTTATAGACCTAAGAACCTAGTGTCTTAACTTGGGTAAGGGCATAGAACATCATAAAGGAATTTCTGCTTTGATACACTTTGTAGATAAGCAGGCATGAGAAAATACTTGCTTGTGATGTGTGAGCCAAATAGACTTGTTATCAATACAGAAATAAATGCCATTCCTAGCAGATAGGAAAGTAGCCAAATGTGAATGTGTACAGGCCTTTGACACCTTGTTGAGAGAAACAGCTTACCGGCCAGGATACATCCGTGCAAGCCAATCAGAAGTGCAGAACTGTGGTACAAGGGCAGAGTGGTATAGATGACATCATCTGCCCTAAACCCAGACACGGTAGAAAGGCCAGTTCCATACCATAATCGATGATGATTGATTGTGGCAGCTTTTGGGAGACCTTTGCAAAGAAACAAGAGAAAGCATAACTGAGCAGAGATTGGCCATTGAGTCTGTGGGAGGGTTCCAGCTCAGGAAGATTCACCATCCTGTGCTTGGAGAACTGTATAGGGGAGGACCAGGAGTAGTTAAACCTGGGGTCAGCAGATTTTTGAAATTTTTTTTTTTTTTTTGGTAAAGGACCAGAGAGTAAATGTTTAAAGCTTTGTGGGGTCATGTGTTCATTGCTGCAAAGACTCAACTCTGCTATTATGGCCCAAAGCAGCCAAATACACATAGGGGAATAAGTGTGGATATGTTCCAATAAAACTTCATTTATAAAACCATGTGGAGGGTGGTATTTGGCCAGCAGGGCATAGTCCATTGACTCCGGAGTTAGATAGTTACAGTAGTAATCTGAAGTAAGAGAAATGAACAAATGCTCATTGTTTCTCCTCTGTGCTTTCTACTTGGCAAGATGTTTTCAATATTTTTKTTAGCTTTCTTATTAAACTTAAAAAATAAATTGAATTATATTCTCCAATCCACAGATGAGAAGTCAAAGATTCAGAGACATTAAGTATTTTAGAGAATAAATAGTCCATTCGCCCAATCTCCTTTTTCCCCCAACTACTTTTATTAATTTCTTATGTCCTATTCCAGAGTTTCTTTATATAAATACAAGCAAACATGAACATCTGCTCATATGTACTTGCCTTGTCCATTAAAAAACACGAATGTTTTTCTGCATATTTTTCCCTCTGTCCCTTAACAGAGATCTGTCCATGTTTGTAYAGATTTTCCTCACTCACTCATTTCCTTCTTCTCAGCTGTCTCACATCCTTTATGTAAGAAGATTATAATTTATTTAAACTATTTGGATATTTCAAATGATGCTGTGGTGAATAACCTTGTCTATATGACAGTTCTCATTATGAATGTCACTTTCTGTAGGATAAATTCATGAAGTGAAGTTACTGCATTAAAAGATGGAAGTCTTTGCAATTTGGACAGAGAATTGCCACATTGCCAGTTATAAAGGCTGTCCCCATTCACTCTCCCATTAGCAAAATATGTGGCCAGTTTCCTCATATTATTAATGCTCCCAAATGTTGGGGATTTTTGCCAATCTGAAAAGCACACTAAAGTATATTTGCATTTTCTTAATCATAACTTACACAAGTTTTTTCTGGTAAGATTTGTATTGAAAGAGTATTCTTATACTGTTTCTTATGGAAGATCAATTTAGCTGAGCAGGGCGTGAGGTCACTGTTAAAGGAGCTAGTTAGACTTTAAGACCTAGGTGAGCAAGTACTTGATAGTGCCTTTGCCAGGTATGGGCCATAAAAGCAATTTATTATAAGACAAAGCAGATCGCCAAAATTGTAAACATAATTCAAAACTCATTTTCTTTGACCGTGGATGTGGCATTGTGTTAATATTAATGTCTCCATTCTATACTAACATTAAGAAGAAAGCATCAATAAATCAGTTGTATTCACAATGGAAAATAATTGTTTGAATTGCATTTTAAAAAGAAATACTCACCGTTATTGCTTTGAAGTACTTTTGTCTAATTTAAAATTTTATATTAATGAACACATAAGAATATTTGGAATTTTCATATAATTTTGTGCTAATAACTTCCTTTGGAAGGAAAAACATTTTGCCTTCCAATTTCTCAAATAAATTCTTTTAATTAATGTTTACACGAGTAACTTAGCAATATTTTATTCACARATACAGAAAAAAGTAAGATCAGCATAAATCCTATTGTCTTCTAATTAAAAATAAATTCTTAATTATAGGATTCAGTCAGGAAGTGTTTTATTTTTTCTTCCTAACATGGGTTTTCTATTTCCTTCCCAGATAGGTCATGTGAAGAAGTTTCACACTTGTCTATTTAGTACTAGGACTTGTACTCCCATTACTAACCAAAAGCTCATTTTATCTCAGTTATTCCCTGAATTAAACTTCATGATTTATTTTTTGCCATTCTATGAAKAAATTAAGATAAAAATCCCATATGTTAAGGTAGTGTCTGTTTGCAACAGAGGCAATGGGTCACTTAGGTCATCTACCTTTCTGTTGACATGGCATATATACGTTTCAACACATAAAAAAATGATAAACATCACACTGTAGACATTCGCTTTATTATGTCATTCCCAGCTTCCCCTCCCTATTTATTGAAGGATATTTAGCAAAAGAGGCTAAGGGGAGCTGACACTCAGGTTAAACTAGAGTCTAGAAATTGCAAGGTCAGATGGATACAGGGGCGCCTGCCAAACCAAAGGAAACTGTTCCTGTTGGTTGGTGTTGAGATAAAAGGCTCAAAGCAACCTTTAGCTTTATTCATAATGTTTGATTACTTAAAAATGAGAATAGAAGCRTGTATTATCTGCTTATTTAAATTAAAATTTTAACCAAAAGAGATAAAAGATTTACATATTCAATTCCCAGTATTATTAATAATAATGATCAGCATGCTGGAGTTGGCTTCCTGCCCTTCTTTTCAATATTAGCCCTCAAACTTCATATTATTACAGTGTGGTAACATTTTCTCTGGTCTAGAGTGAGCAGGCACTGAATATCTTATTACGTGAATGAACCTGGAAGTATTGCCACCAGGGCTGTCAATTTCATGAGTTGCATAGAGTTAGTTTATAAGGTCAATCCTGATACTTCTACTTCTTATTATGGGATGTTACTAATCTATTGGTTTATGAATCTGTAAAATGGAGTAAGAATACTACCCAAGAGTGGKGGGAGAATTGCATGAACAAATGTCTTAAAGCTCCTAAACAGAGCCTAGTACATATAACACTTGTTGYTGCCTGTTCCATGTAGTAGTGTTTCAATAACACTATTTTTTTGGCAACTTTTTCTTAGTAGCTCATAAAATGATACACAGTGGAAGGCATTCTAGACTTGAGGAAATACAGTATTTTAGGCCCTGCACTAAAGTCACCCTACATTCACAGCACCAAACAGCTCAAGTCAGTGCTGAATGGGAAAACAGTGGTCAAAACAACTATATAAATACCTCCCCATAACTGTCCTCTGGTATTCCATTTTAATTAAAGACCTTATATATGGACTCTGGATATGGTATAATCAAAATACAACAAGTATTAAAAATCTCATCCATCATCCTAACTAGTTTTCATAGTTCTTTATTTGTTCTGTACTAGTTGAGGAGGGGGAGCTATGCATACCTGGGAGAAACTCAAAAGGGATCATATGTAGTGCAATAAGATCAGTTCCCATGAGCAAAGAGCTAAATCCCCTGAAGTATTAGTTATCTGATAAGTTTTTCCAAAGAAAGTATTTAAAAACCTAAGCCAACATTTAACTCCTTCAGGAAAGGTCCATTTCTTTGAGAATCCTCCCTTCATTTTTTTTTTTTTTTTACCTGTGGTTCCAGATGTATAAATGTATAAGGCAGGTGTAGAAAAAGTCACTTCAGACCTCCACGACTCTGGGATAGGTTCAGTTGACACTTCATCTACTTTGTCCAGGAAAGAGTCAACGCCATCTGTGTTAGAAGTTCTGCTTACATAATAGACGGACACACCATCTTTTTTCAGGCTTGGTAGCACCTCTTCAACAGCTTCTCGTAGTTCTTAATTTAATTAAACAAACAAACAAATTAGTCTGTCAAGTTTCTATTTAGTGTAATAAGCTTCATGATAATTTTGTGTCCAGTAAAATTTTGCTAAAATGTCTGGATAGGACAAGAGATGCTTATAGTTATGCATTTTTAAACATTTTTAAAACAAAATTGCTGCATTAGAAAAAAATCACAATATTCCAATGTTTGAGAGAACTTTGAGTTTTGACAGTTTCATAATCACAGCAGATGGTTGGTTGAAATCTGTACTTTTTGTGGAAAGTACACCCAAATGGACAGATGGGTAAAAATCAAGAAATATAAGTGCATAACTTAAAGTAATAATTGGTGTATGGATCTAGAAATAAACAGAAATGAATTTACTATTCTTAATATGTGCCCACAGAACCAGTGATGAAAAAAAATTAAGAACAGAAACAGAAAGTAGGGAGGCAAGCCAAGTAGCAAAGATTATAGATAAGATGAAACTGCACATAAGCTTACGTAATCTTGAATTGTAACAACTCAAGCAAATATTCTTATTCTTAATAGGAAGGTGACTTAATATCCCAGGGAATTACCTTGGGGAGGCTATACCTGATTCATCTCATATGCTTTGTCTTTTAGATGTTTGCGTATGCTATCTTCACTAAGACAAGAAGCATCACTGGGACAGATAGATGCAGCTAGAGGACCCATGCACTTGGTAAAAAATAAACTGAACAGTACAAATGGGTTTATAATGAAAATCAACAGGCCTTTACCCCAACTGTCCTCACAGCTAAACATGTGCCTAGGGGCAACCATTTCAATGGTTTTGACTGTTGCTTTTGGCAATTACTTTTCCATCATCAAAAAACGTGCTTTTCCTGCTCCTTTTTGGCTTATCAGTTTTGATCCCTGCCCCCATTTATACCTGTCCACTCCAACAGTTAATATTTTCACTTCACATTGTCTAGGTTAAGAGAATTTAAGTCTATTTTGAGGTCATAATTCTGTTTTCCCAGCATTGTCCATGGGTTGGCTATAGAAGCCGAAAACCAATAATCAGGATGGACATGATGATTAGACTATGTGAATATTCACTGCAGAACCAAAAAAACACTCTATCCTCAAGTTTTCTTTCTGGAAGAGTTCTCTCCTAGAGTTTCATGTTGGCTTCTATTCTCTAATGTACTATTTGCTTCAATTCTGTTTTTAACCTCCATCAAATTGTTTTCCTTTTTTTTTTTCTGTCCCAGGAACACTGATTCTCTTTCTGTACTATAGTGTGTTTCACTGGCTGCTCTCTAATCCTTTAGTACTTTAGAAAAGTTGCCCAAAATATGGCTATTGTAGAAACCAGCGTGGTAGCCTCCCATCCTTGGTCACTGTCTTGGTTCAGGTCCTCACTCTTCCCTGCTTAGATGACTGCAGTAGCCTCCTCACCAATCTCCTTGCTGCTAATCTCTCCCTGCTTCCAATTTACCTCCTGGCTTCACTATTGCCCATCTTCTTGGTGCCTCCCTATTGAAAATGTCTCAATGGCTGATCATTCCTTGTTATAGAATCCACTGTATTTGGGAGATCCTGAGGATCTTGACAGTCTCATCCCTGCTGGTCTTCCTGATGTCATCTCCTACTCTCTACCTCTGGTACCCTTTCCTTTACACACGCGGAAGTCCTTATAGATCCTCATGTGCCCACATCCCATGACCTTTATCCATGCTGTTCCATCTGCTTAGAGTACCCTCTCAGTCCCCCACCCCCATCAACCCCAAACTCCTGCTTATCCTTCAAGACTCAGCCCAGAGACAACTCTCTTCTGTCACCTGCCTTTTCCTTGCAAGATTGTCTGCTCCTTTGTCCAGCTTCCAAAAGGTCCTGCATATGCTTCCCAGGGTATTTAGTTGCTGAGTGTGAGGTGGCTCAGTTATTTTTCTTTTTAATTAGACAATGAGATCTTTGAGATTAAGGAAACATAACTTAATCCTTGTACCCTCAGCACAAAATATGTACTCAATAAATGTTTAAAATGGAAAAAATCTGCACAATGTATTGTATGAGTGTGGAAGAGACAGGAATAAGCTAAAGAGGCTTATTAAAGGATTCAGATCTTACAATACTGTGAATTGGTAAACATTTAATAAAATATAAAATGAAATAATTTCTGTGATAGTTATGTCTTGCATACAGATAAGGACCCTCTTAGGCATTTAGTTTATGATCTTTTCCTACTTACAGAGGTCATCTCATCTGAAGGGAAGGCCACCATCCCTGCCAACCTCCATCTCCACAAGGCTGTTGGTGTAAAATTTGTTATTTGGGTGTTGACTTGAGGTTCCAGGGGCTTGCCCACCATATTAGGACACACTGGAGTAGACTTCCCTCCCTTGAGTTAAAGATGTTAATATAAGAACTGAAATTTTAAAGGAAATTCTGAATGTGAATCAATGATCTAGTTGATATGTAATTATAACAACCAGTCTTTTATAGGTATGATTAGAACTACCATATCAAGCTTGCCTCTTTCACATATAATCTTTAAAAATTTCTTATTGTAAGGTCTGCTTACATAAGAATGGCAAGCAACCAGGACATAGAAGCTCAAATAATTCTATTTGTCACAGGTCAGGTTCCCTTGGACTCTGAAACTCAGAGATTTGAATGTAGGAGAAGCCTTGGGAACAGAACCTATGAGGCTGCAAGGGAAGCAGATGGGAGAGAATGAGAACCTGAACCTTGGCTGATTTTCTGATCCTTCAGAGACTCTGGGACTGGCATGGTCCTTCAGGGTTGTCCCAATTTAGGGGAAATGGCTGGTGTTCTTCCTTCCACCCTTCAAATAGTCAATGGAGTCAGGGCGTGGAGGTGTGGCACCTGACCTTGGGCAAAGAGGCTCTCTTGAACTTAGATCAAGTCCTGGAAAGGCTCTCAGATGAGAGCTTCTTGCAGCTGAGAGAGGTGTAACGCTATCTCTCCCACCATACTCATCACAGTCCCCTGGGTAACACAATCGTTTGTATATGCGGCTTTTTACTGGACTGTATGATATTGGGGACTGTATGTCCTTTACTGTACCCCAGTCCTGAAAGAGAAAGCTGAATGGTGAACTGCATCACAGCACCCCCTGCACCTGTCATTGTTACTGATAACAAAGCTTTACATTTTGCATTTGTTTAGAACTGTTTGTATAGTAGCTTTGCACACCTCACTTCACATTAATTTCATAGCAACCCTGTGATTTAGACACCAGTCACCCTGTTCCTACAGATGAGGACAGAGGCTCAGCTGTCTCTATATGGAAGGTTACACACAACAAGAAAATAAATATACTGGGATTCTGGGATTCCTGCTTCCCTATACTCACCTTTCAGGCTCAAATTTTGGTAAAGGGATTGACTTTGYTTTCTGCTCTGTGTTTGTTAAAGCATGTGATCTGTCTTGACTTAGATGACTGCAGTAGCCTCCTCACCAATCAATAAGACTATCTTTTGTTCATCTTCTTAATGAACAGCATAACCTCAAACTATATTAAAAGCTTGGTTGAGAAATAAAATTCATGGCAAGTTTGCCTGAAGGGCACAGAGTAAATCCATCAGCTTCTCATGAATCTAGTTTTAAATTGTGAATTGAAGTAGACCTTCGGAGAAAGAAGTACACACTTAGGTGGTAGAAAATGAGTGATTACAAGATCCCCACCAAGTCTGTCTTTTTCTTTTTCTTAAAACATAAATAAATAAATAAACAAATAAATAAAATCATACTAGTTCTGCTATCCTTTACCTATTTATGTAGAAGAAGGAAAAAAAGAAAAAAAACATCTAACTACACAGACTCATTCTTGGAAAGCAGAGAGAGAGGGTGGGTGGGGGCAGAATCAATCTTTGTCACCAATAGGTTAAATCTGCAGTTTTCCAGTGGAAAAACTTTCACTCTAGTAGCTTATTCTGCTACCAGCTTGCTTCCCTGAATGGCAACTGACTGAACTAAAACAGCACAGAAATATTTWCTAATAAGGTAAAATCTGAAAAGAAGGCAGCAAAAGGAGATGTGTTCTAATAAAAATTTCAGGACAAATGTGAAATGGTTGGTAGATAAGCAAGTTAGGAATGAAGGTTTAGCTCTTTAGTTAATTAAAAAAAATATCCAAACCACAAAGTAGTGCTGATTCAGTCCTGGGAGACAGTGTGAGAATAATTCCTRAAATGTCATTTGTAACTGTGATTCTGCATCTGTACCAGTGGTAGTTTGGAATGATAGTATTTGATAACCTGTTGTCTAGTCTGCACAGCACCCTCTGAATTAGAATTCTCTTCAAATAGAGGCATGCTCATTCCCCTTTCTCCTCCTGATTCAAAAATCACCTGAGGTCAAAAAAGATATTAAGGTTCAGCTCCATCAGGAGTAAGTAAAAATTTACCAGCAAAATATATATTCACATTTATATAATTAAATAATTTACTTGATATTATTTTTCATTTGCCTCAAAGTTCTTGCTTATGTGAATTCTTGTTTTCTAAGATACCCCTGGAATCAAGGATAATTCCTTATCATGAGGTCATGCAAGGCCTTACATAATTGCTAACATTTGATATCCACAAGCATTTCTGCCTGTCTACCAAGTATCTACTTCCCTATTTCTCAGAGCTGTGGGAGGTCCTTTCCAAATAATGGCCACTTATTTATTTACTCATCATGCAGAATAATGTGAACACTACCTTTCTCTTTCAGATTTGATAACATTAACAGCTGATTCAGAGTTTATTTTGCTTTCACCTCTTTACCTCCTTCCTGTTTCTAAGGAGAGGGGACTACATTCCCACATGTCAGCAATATGCTAGTTTGTTTTTGTAAGAAGCTGTACAACCATCTCCTTTGCAACCTTTAGTTAGGAGCAGGGGGAGAAGAGCGATGTTTTAGGGCAATTTTAACCTAACCCTCCATTCAGACCCTGGGCTACTGAGCTGGGAATCTCAGTACTAGAATATATTACTCATTTGGTGTCTGGGTTTCTGTTCCTGTAGAGTCTTCACTATCTATTCATAAATCCCAGAGTGTTCCCAGCCCATCCCATGTTCACCACCTTCTCCTTCTCAGCACTGRGACCAAGAGAGAGCACCTCTCCCCYGCAGTCTACTGCCAGAAGGGCTGGACACACCCACTGATTAGGAAAACCACTGGGAGGTAAGCAAGTCTGTGGTAAGGTGAGGCTGGGCCTGGGGGAGATTGAAAAAGATTTTCTCATATCTGGGTATATTTGATTTTATTTCATCACTTTTCATGCCTCCTTACCAACTCAATGATTCTTAAGCTTCAGGAAAGAAAACTTGTTAAAACCAACCACAGTAGTGGCACTCATTAATTCAACAAACATTTGTTGAGTACCTACTATGTGTTAGGTATTAYTAGGTCATTATTCAAAGACATGTAAGAGAATTTTAAGCTTTTGGAACAAAGTGCATTGAAGCAATTTATCTAAATTACTCCTTGAGCAACCCAGGAAGGTGAGAAGAGTAGAGATTAGATTATCTCCAGGCCTTAATTGTGAACTAGAGCTGGCATTAAGAAATGATCTCCTTCCATGGAAGGGAGGCCACTGCTCTCGGCCATTCCTTGGATTTTCTGAGTCCCCATTTTCTTTACATTAGGAYCTTTCAATAATCAGCTTTAAAAATGATTATTATTAAAGTCCAGACTGCTGATAATCTTAATTTATGTAACTATTTRGTAAAGTCTTTCATGATATTATGGACCTGATCAAAATCACCTCTGGTCCTGTAATGCCCCTTCCCACAGCACTTTTCTAGCTCCATTTTCTTTTTTTCTTTTTTTTTATTGTTCGTTGTTCAAAACATTACATAGTTCTTGATATATCATATTTCACACTTTGATTCAAATGTAAAACAGAAAAAAAAATCATTTTCTTTAAGAATTAAATGCTTCTGCTTGATTCAGAGACGCGTCTGTGAGCCTTGATTTCCTGTACATATAGTAAATTCAGAAGAAGTAAATGGATACTGAAACTTCTGAAAGAGTTGAGCTCTGTTAAGCCTTAAGAGTCCCCAACAGTCATGACAACTAGATCARTCCCCATGATAAATGCCACTGTGCTGGTTTTTTACATAGAAGTACTACAGGATTTGACACACAGAGTTCAAGAACTCTTATGAGCTCACATGCTATGTGGCTCAAATTCAAAGTATCAAATATCAAATTCACATTTATGTATCAGGTTCAGATGATTGATAGTATAAAACATGCACTAGATGTGAGGAAAAAAAATCTGGGTTTTGCCCCCAGCTTTCTGTTGCTGACTATCCATATGATCCTGAGCAACTGATAGCATACTTTTGGGCCTTTATTTATTCAGCTATAAAACAAGTGGGAACTAGACTGATTATCAAAGTCTAGTTCTCAGTTCATTTGCTTCAAAAATCATCTGGGGCTGAGGTGGGGCTTATTTGGGTCCAGCTGCAGTCCTATTAAATCAAAATTTGGGGATGAATTAAGTAAGGACTCTGTTTTGAAAAATGATGATTTTTGTACTCATTAAGGATTACAGGATTAGAATAGCTCTAAGATCCTTTCCAACTCCAAAGAATTAGTCCATTTATCACATTTCCACATGGGCACATCTACTAAATATGTGACTTTGGACTCTGTTATTCCCTTCACAGTAACTGTTCTAGGTCAGAGTATATCATGTACAAAGGTATCTTAGCAATTTGGAAAAAGTAGATGTTTTTCAAACGTGTAGCCTCTCTCAAAGGTTAGTTTGCCCATTTAACACGTGGGCACTGTCACCCTTTTTGGACTTTGTTGCTTTCTTTGCAGTAACTGTTTTAGGTCAGCGTAATTCTGCATTATGGGCAAAGGTGTCTCAGTGATTGAGACACACTGAATTTTTAAAAAATGTGTGACCTTTCTCAAAGGTCAATTTACTACCAGAGGGTGCTGTAGGACTACTGGAAAGTCTGGTTTGAGTTTTAATTTGAGCAGGGGATTTCATAATACTCCCACATAAACACAATACTCTATGGTGGAGGAATATTGCCTTGATGGGGAAGAAGGTACATTTTGAGCATTCCTAATCTGAAAATCTGGAGTGCTCTAAAATCCTAACTTTTTGAGTATCAATATGATGTCATAAATAGAAAATTTTACACCATGAAACTATTCTTTATGTACAAACATATTAAAATATTTTGTAAAATGACTTTCAGGCTATGTGTATAAAGATACATATGAAACATATATGAATTTTTTTGAGTTGGGTTCCATCTGCAAGACATCTCATTATGTGTATGTATTCCAACATCTGAAAAAAAAAATCTAAGATTTGAAACACTTCTGGTCCAAGGCATTGAAGGTAAGGGATTCTCAACTTGTATTCAGTAGTATTTCTGACTTTATTAGAGAACCAAATGCTATAATAGTCATTTAATCGGAGCTTCTTTGGCAATTAAAAAATGAGCTCTGTGAAGTCTCTCCAAGAGTGTCTGGGGTACTAAGGAAGCAATAATGTTTAAGTGCTTCCTGAAGATTACACAGTGCAAAGATTACTGTGTTAATAACTTCCCTCTAAGTATGTAAGAGGGTCTTCCTTACTAAGTTTTAAAGTCATCTCATTTCAAAGGCAACTAGAAATTGTTGGGGGTTTTCTTGAATGGACCATGCCCTTTAAATAATCTGGCTCCCTTTAAAACCATCTCTCTGTTTTTGAAATTTTATATGAAGGTGACATTTTTTTTGGATAATTTATTTTATGCCACATGAAACAGGTATATAATTTTTCTGGTTTCATATAAATGAATTGACATTTTATCTTTCTGGGAAGCTAGATGAACTGCTTAGCTTAGTTTCCCTAGCTATGAGCAGAAGGGTAGATTAAACAGATGCTTGATCCCTTCCAGTAAGAACAATTTACATGAATGCAGAGGAAGACAGCATGAGGAAGGAAAGAACATGGGCTTTGAAGTTGCACAGATCTAGATTGGACTTTTAAGCCTCAGTTTCCTCAACTGTTAATAATAGGGGGTATTCACATAACAGCTCACATTGTAATAAAAGCATCCAGTATAGGGCTTGGCACAGAAAGGCATCCCCAAAAGATGGGGCTTCTTGGTTCCCTCTGTTCTTAGTTATATCTTTAGTCAGCGTCTAGTTAAGCATCCTATTACTGATTCAGAGAAGTAACCCCTGGTCCAGAGTGCAGAAATTAAAGCTTTTTCCCGGTAGTAGGGGGTGGTGATAGAGGGGAAAGTGCCAAGTTCTGAAACAAGCTGTTGGGAGGAGGAAACCATCAACTCTGTAGCTAAGAGGTCCTTTGCTTTTTCCTGACCTGGACACCACTTTAACATGAACATATATCATTTCGGGTCTCGCTGAAAGGCAAATACACATATGAACGGGGTTTCCTGTTTTTATAAATGCAATGGAGCTCAGAAGGGCACTTTAGCAGATTTGCAAAGTCTTCTCCTTAGGCATCAGGTGGGGTCACCTTCTCTCTGCAGTAAGAAGCCATGAATACTAACAGCACTTGAGAACTGGAAGTAGCTTTGAAGATTGCCTCATGGCAGAGAAATACACTAAAGGACAGAAAAGAGAAGTGACTTTCCCAAGATTACACAGCTGATCAAGCAGCAGGGGTGAGAACTGTCCCTTTGGATCCATTCAAGTTCATGCTCAAGACCCTCTACATTTTAATGAAGATGGTGTAGGTACTGGTAAAGAGCTGGAATTTGGAGGTGGAATGTGGTTAAGCCCCTGCCCTCCAGTTCTATGACATGGAGCATGAGGCTTCACCTCTCTGGGCTTCAGTAGTCTCATCTATAAAAGTCCCACAAGTAACGCCTCTCTGTTGTGAGAATTGAAAGTAACACTGTGTATACAATGGACACTGCATACCCTTGGTTTCAGCATTTGCAGTTTCAACCAACACAGAAGGAAAATATTCAGAAAAAGCTGTGCTGAATATGTACAGACTATTTTTCTCATAATCTTCTCTAAACAATACCATCTAAGAACAATTTGCATGCCATTTACATTGTATTCACTATTATAAGTACTCTAGAGATGATTTAAAGTATATGGTAGAATTATACCTAGGTTATATGCAAATACCACGCCATTTTATATAAGGGACTTGAATATTAGAGGATTTTGGTTTCTGCAGAGGTCCTGAAATTAATCCCTCACTTCTTTACTAGGGAGAACCATAGTGCTTAACCTGGTACCCGGCACATTGCCCCAACACTGGTGGTTCTCTAATGATCATTAACTGCGTTGAAAGGAAAAGTTGTAGCCCTCTATGTACATCTACAGTTCCAATMTAAATCTCTCTCTCTCCAGCTCCCTTACACCATGCTGCATGCAACTCATTTTTCGCTAAGGCACTGGGCAGCCCCCCAGTGTCCTGTTGGTTAGTTTGAAGCTCACCTGGTGAGGCCAGCAGCACTTTTGCCCCGCAGCAATGGAAACAGTGCAACAGAGACTTTGAGCGAATGTTGTAGTTGAGGCACGCCATGGGACAGCCCAGTTTGGCCAGACCCAGCCACAGCCAGATGAAGGCCGGCTCATTGCCCATAAAGATCGCCACGCATTCTCCTTGGCGCAGGCCGAGATGGTCGTGCAGCGTTCGCGCCACCTGATTGCTGCGCCGGTCTACCTGTGCGTAGGTGAGCGTCTCATCGCGGAAGAGCAGGAAAGGCTTGTGTGGGGTCTGGCGCGCTTTCTCTAGAAAGGAACTCAGGATGGTGCGCGCCGGACGCCGCTGCCGGTAGCTGCGCACCTGCCGGGCCAAGTTGGCCACCCGCAGGAAGTAGCGCATATCCTGGAAGAAGTAGGGGCAGCAAAAGTTCACCAGCAGTGGCAGGAGCAGTAGCCCCGCCAGGATGGTGTACATGGCGGGGGTCATGATGGTGGTGGGATCCTCTGTCCCCGCGAGGGCAGAGGGCGCRCTTCGGGCGTGCAGCTTGGCGGCTGGGTGGACTCTGAGAGGACAGCGGACAGGCTGCGCCGGGCGCGCGGCTGCGGGACGGAGGGCTAGCGATGAGGCTGTGGTGACAACCAAGCGCTTTGGCTGCCAACACCGCCGCAGGCTCTCTGGCGTGTGGCGCGTGTGACGGCTGCCAGGGGTTCTGGGCGTGATCGGCAGGCTGCGCCCGCCCCCTTGAGGACGCAGACACCTGTGTTCCCGGCCCGCCCCTGAGCTTCTCTTGGAGAGACAGGTGACCCTGCGACTTGCTGGGGGCGGGTTCSGGGGTAGGGTTTCTGCCACTGCCCCTCCGTAGTCTGGTGTCCGGGGTCAGGTCTAGACTTCCTTGCATTTTGACCAAAGTACTTACTTTACATCTCAGAGCCACAGTTTTTCTTGTCTAACGGTGATAACAGGCTCAAATAGAGGGTGTTGACAAGATTAAAGGAGCCAATGCAGGCGTGGGGCTTTTAATTATTTATTGTTACCACTAATAAAGTGGCTTATGGTGATGACTTTTTGTTTTAAATCAGTAAAATATCCTAAAAATGTGAGACTGCCCTATTATTTATTAATAGCGGGTACCAGGTGCCACTGCCAAGACATAGTTCCATCTCTCCGTCCTGGTCCCAGGGGCTTTCCGCCTGGTGTCTCTTTGTTTCTCAGATTTGCTCCCCCGCCCAACCGCAGCCTTGACTTTCAGGCATCTCCTGAAGAAAAGACTTCAAGCTTGCACAAAAGCGCCAGCGATGGTCACAAACAGCTTATCCCAACTCCAGCTGGGCCCTTTCCACCTCGTGAGTCCTGATTTCTCCGGAAGTATTGCCACACATTGCCACRAGGACTCAAGCTCTGCCGTTACTGCATTTATTTTAAAATTTTGTTTCTCGTAAGCAATTCTCTTCCACCCTCAGCAAGTTTTCAGAACACACAATTAATTATTAAGTGGCCCTGTCACAATGCGAAAGAARCAGTACATTATTGGCATTTCTCAAAACGCCATTTCTTTTAGAGGAAGTGTGATCCTTTCATAATTTTCCTTAGTATTACTCTATACAAAGCAAATACTGCTTGCTACTGAGGAGAGGCAGGATCTAAATTTAGCAGTGGTTTACTCTAATCCTTCTGCCCTGTGTTCATCCATCTTATTCTCTTCTTTTCTCTCCTACCCTTCTCTTCTCTCTCCTCCCTGATTATCTCCTCCTCCTCCTCCTCCTCCTCCTCCTCCTCCTCCTCTCCCCCTCCTCCTCCTCCCCCTTCTCCTCCCACTCGTCCTCCCCCTCCTCCTCCTCCTCCTTCTCCTCCTTCTTTTTGATATTGGGCATTGAATCCAGGGCCTCACACATGCTAGGCAAATTCTGTACCATTGAGCTACGACCTTAGCCCTTTAGAAATATTTTTGAAACAGAATCTCCCTAAATTGCCCTGGCTGATCTTGAACTTGCCTTCCTCCTGCCTCAGCCTTCCAAGTAGCTGGGATTACAAGCAGCACCATAGCCACAGGCCCATCTTCTTATTCTTATAAGGCAAATAATGGACACTTCTCCCAGACACTTGGCTAGGGTCATCCCCGTGTGTGTGTGTGTGTGTGTGTGTGTGTGTGTGTGTGTATGTATTTATATATATATTTCTCATTATTCTCTAAAAGTGACACTTTCATACTTATGAAATACAGACAAGAAAGGGAAGTTTAGAGAGGCAAATTAAGAGAGTTAATAAGGTATAAGTTTTGGAAACTGTTATCTGTTTAGTCCCAGGAATCACTCTTAGCTCACTCTTAACAACATAGCAACTATGTCCTGTTGGCCTTCCTATTCTCTAGGTGTCTGTCCATATTCTTTTATTCTTCCACAATTAAAAAAAATGTCTTTTACAACCTTTGGGCCTCCCATTTATAGCCCCCTCTTTTTTATCCCTGGTACCTGCTCAAGCAGGTTTTGCCTTGTCTTATCTTTTTTGTAGCTGATCTACTATCCAGTGACTGGTTGCATCATTTCCTTGGGGATGTATTGGGGACCTTCAACATCTCTGAGGAAAAGTCATTAGTATTAACCAAAGTAGGGGGCAGAAACCATTCTGGTGTGCACTTTATCTTTCAAGTTGCAGGTCAGGGCCCRTCTTCTTGTTTTCATCCTGATCCATCTTCCCTGTGCCTCTCTTTTTATGGCTAGTCATTTCAATGTAGCCTTCTGCCCCTCTTTTCTTTTCCTYGAGTAGCTACTCTCTATCAAGAATGCTGGATTAGCAAAGATGCCTACTTTCTTCTTATTATCCTGAGACTTACTTTAACCTTGTATATCAACTGTCTTTCAGTTGCAAGTGAAGAAAACAAGCCCCAAATTGTCATAAAGAAAAACAGAAATTTAAACAGGAAGGTCCAGCAGTCTGAGAGCTTCAAGTGATCCCTAATGTATGTCTTAGAAGCTGGACTTAATTTCTCCTTCACTTTCTCTCCTCTCCACCTCCTCTGTTCTAATTCAAACTCTCCCTTCATGGTCCAAGGATGTTTGCCAATTGCCTTTAGGAATATATACTTCCTGGGTCAATTTCAAAGAGATACATAAAGATCTTTTTTCCTTAGACGACTTCATTAAAAAAAAAAATCCCTGACTGAACTGTGTGCCCAACCCTGAACCCTTGGGACCTGGGGAAGAGAAATGCTAATTGGTTTAAGCCAGTCAGTTTCACTCATGGAGGTRGAGGTATAGTCAATTCCACCTATACTATTTTGTGGAAAATTTCAGGGTATTATTAAAAGTGGATGAGGGAGAGTTGATACAAGAGAATAAATAAATCTAGGGAAGCAATTAGCAAATGTCCTAATATATACCTTGGAAATCTTTACCCCAACAAGTTTACCTTTTGCTCTACCACCTGGTTAGTAGTTGTTTTAATCTTTTTGTATTGCTATAACAAAATGACATACACTGGGTAGCTTATAAACAACAGAAATTTATTTCTCATGGTCTTGGAGGCTAGGAATTCCAAGATTAGTGTTAGGACAGGGCCTGTTTTCTTATAGATAGCATTTTTTTTTTTAAGTACTGGGGATTGAACTCAGGGGCACTTGACCAGTGAGCCACAGCTCTATTTTGTATTTTATTTAGAGTAACTCACTGAGATGCTTAGCACCTTGCTTTTGCTGAGGCTGGCTTTGAACTCATGATCCTCCTGCCTTAGCYTCCTGAGCCACCGGGATTACAGGCTAGTGCCACTGTGCCTGGCATAGATAGCATCTTCTAGCTGTGTCCTCACATGATGGAAGGGGAATATGAGCTCCTGTTAGCATTTTATTTTATTGATTTTTTTTAACTATTAAAATAAAATTTTTACTTTATGAAAAATCAGCATAAATACATCAGCAGGGATATTAAAATACAGAATAAGAGTGAAAATGATCATATATAATAATCTTCACTTTTGATATTCCAATTACAGCCTAGGAGAGCTTGCCAAATTTGGCCTATTTTATGACGACACTAATTCCATACATGAGGACTCCATCCCCATTATCTAATCACTTCTTAAAAGCCCCATCTACTAATGCTATCACCTTAGGGGTTAGGAGTTCAACATATGAATTTTTTTGGGGGGGGGATACAAACATTCAAATCATAGCAATAGTCTTCCTGGAAATTTTGCCTTCATCTAATATCTCCAATGCTCAGTTATGTTTAGTGCTTCCCATCTTCTTTCACCCATGGTAGCGATAGACAACTGTATTTGTACAGTGTGCTAGAATAGACCTGGGCAGGAGATGACTGGACTCTTTGGCTCCTACTTGACTCCCTTGAAGTGTGATCAGAATCTTAGCACATTGGCTATCTGTTCTTGGCACATTTATGGGGAAGCTCTGRTCTACAAAATGAAGTTCAAACTTTATTTTTTTTATTAACTCAATTAACAAATATTTATTGACCTACTGTGAGAAGGACATTATCAGGCAATAAACATTTAAAAATGGAATAAACTTAATTCCAGTTGCTCCTTTTTGGGACTACTTGGCTTTAGTAAGTCTAGTGCACACAGCCCTAGAACACCCTGCACGTTCCTTTCTATAGCTTTCTTCTTGCCTTTTTCCACCTCTGTTCTCTCCATTCCTCTACACTCCAAATATCTTTAAGGGAGGGGTTCTTCGATTTTGGCCCTTCTCAGTCCAGTAGCATTTAAAAAATAAAGGTAGGGACTCAAAAAAAGATAGAACATGTTTTTAGTTTTTCAGGGAACCTAACAGTGTATTATGATGCTTATTATTTTATAAAAGAATGACATTTTAATGAMAATGTATCTGAGTTTTGTTAGTGAGAATGGGGCTAATAATGCTTATCAAATGGGGGAGCTGTAAGATTGATGATATCAGGTATATACCTGGAATACAATAGAGGCTCAGTGTATTGCCGTGTATCTTCTGCCCTCTAATTAAACCCTTTGCATGAGATTCAAAATCATTCACAACCTGGGCCCAACTCAGGCTCTCTAGTTTCATCTCTCCTTACTCTGGATATTTTATACTATATCTCAGCAGTCCTGGTCTACTGTGTGGTTCAGGCAGGTTCCTTAACCCTCTGTTGCCAGAAAAAGAGGTACCATCAAATGGAGTCATCATAAGGATGAAATGAAATTATATATTTCAAGAACTCTGGACAGTGTATCATTAAGTGCTCAATAAATGCTAACTTGATATAGTACTTATCTCCATCATATGACAGCCTTCCACCCACCCCTGACTTCTCCCTTCTTCTCTGTTTTTTCTAGATTCTGCTCATCTTTAAAACCTAATTCAGCGTTCCCTCCCAGGAATGGTACCCTGGGCTTCCTCCACACTCACATGTGCCTCCCCTGTCCCATGCACTCTGTTGCAGTAGGGTGACTTGCTCTTCTGTGTGTTTCTCCAACTAGTCTGTGAGTTTATAGGGTCAAAAAAATAACATTGTTTWGCTCTAAAAAAGAAAAATGTACCTGCATTGTACACTTAAAAATTGTTAACTATGTTATGTATATTTTACCACAACTATTAATAAAACTCCACAAGTGTAGACTTTTTCAAGAAAGGATGAATGTTTAACAAAGATACAAAAAGATAGAAATTAGAATATTTACCAAAAAAGGAAATTGAAATACCTTTGAATGTAGAAAA